AACCAAAGGACTAATCACCTTCCTACTAGTACCTCCTTGTGTAGAACCGGTGCGAATCGGACTTTTTGTGGAACATGGTAAATTACTCCCATCACCGGATTCTTCTTTCATGACTCTCTCCTTGATTTCATCCAACCCAAGGTCTATAATTTTAGTTTTGCCTTCAGAGTTACCAGCAAGTTGTACAATGGCAATCAATTTTTTGTTCATCCTCTCATAGCAACTTGCATTGAAATCATTCCCAAAGCCAGTATATGTGGTTTTGATACATGCGTACTCTCTATCCAAATATTTTCTCCAACGTGGCAGAATGTATTTAGTTGGCACCTTATTTGTGTATCTTCTCACAAGCATAGCGAGTGAGTGAGCACACATAATGCCTCTAAACTCAAACAACCAACACATACATTGAACTTCACATTCAATTGAATTAAAATAGACAACAAACTCCACATGCTTCATCTTCTCACAAACTACCATTGCTTCTTGGACATTATATGTAGAAATGGACCCATTCTCTTTCAGAAACAACGGCTGACAGTAAACTAATCTTTTCAACTCTCCTTGAACTTCTTTGAATTTTGCATTGGTGTAGGCTTGCTAAAATTGTTTCTCAAAACCATATATAGTTAGGTAATCAAACAATTTGTGCCAAGACTTGAAGTCTGCTTTCTTCTCTTTCTCTGCCTCACTTCTCAAGGCATTGTCATATTATTCAACAAATTGCTTCAATGTAGTCTTTGGGTTTACATATCCATCAAAAATCCATTCATACTTTCACTTCATTGTGTAGTTGACATACCAGGCCAAAAAATGTCTTTAACATAGACAGGTACCCATCGATGCCGCTCATCATATAGTACCCTTAACCACTCATTATCATAAAGATTGAATGTTGCAAGCATCTCTTCCTATTTATTCTCAAATTCAACTCTTGTCAAACAGTCATAAACTGCATTTTGCATAGCCAACTTTATGGCTTCATACTGAGCATATCCTTTCAACTTCTCTGGAATTTTCTTCATGATATGCCATAAGCACCATCAATGTCGAGCTTATGGAAAGACAATTTTTATAGAATTTTGCATAGCTCTGCACTGATTAGTTATGATAGCTTTTGGAGGATGATTTGACATGCAACTTAACCATGACTTGAATAGCCAAACAAATGTGTCATTGCTTTCACTAGGTAACAATCCACAACCAAGCAAAATTGACTGTCCATGATAATTAACTCCTATAAATAGAGCAAATGGCATGTCATATTTGTTCGTCAGATAAGTTGTGTCAAATGAAACAATATCTCCAAATGCTTCATAAGTCACCCAACTCCTTGCATCAGCCCAAAAAACGTTTCTAATATGAAACTCCTCATTAACATCAATTATATAAAAGAATCTCTCACTATGTGTTTGCATCTTCATAAAATAATTTTGAAGTGATTCGACATCACCTTCCCCAAGCCTCAATTTTCTAGCTCTCTCAATGTAATTCCTTGCATCTCGCTCATCAAATGTTAAAGACTCATATCCCCCTGCTTCAACAACCATTGAATGAAAGTTGCTAGATACCCCAATCCTTGCTTGATCATTAATTTCTAATTTTCTCTTTACAGGAGTAAGAATTTTCTTATTCATTGCAAAATGACATGAGTCGGTGGGAATCAAATCATGATTATGCTCAAAGTTAACTGTGGTTAGTTTCTATCTCCCATCCTTTTGTACACTACCTTGTACCCTTGCTTTGCAACCAATTTTTGTGGACAAAGATGGCTTTAAAGGGTTGACTTCTGATTTCTTTTTTCTCTTCCCCTCTCGAGAACATTCAATTGCAAAGTTTTTTAATTGCCCATCATCTCCAAAATGTTGTGCTCTATGAGCTATAGAAAAACCAACATGCTTAGCATATTTGCCATAAAATGTGTACATTTCTTCCCTTGAGCTAAAACACACACTCTTTTTAGGTTCTTCAACTTCTTCACCCTCATTTATTGAAGGATTGTCACCAACATTTGAATCAATCTCCATTCTTCCACTTTGCAGAATGAAATAACAATTATATGATTTCAGAATGATTATATAACACAATGCCCAAACAAAACACAATGAATCAGTTCCCTAACATAATGCCCAAATTGAGGACAAATACTAATTTGAACAAACATTAAAAAATGGAATTAATTTGAACAAATATTATGTGACTATCCCCAAAGTGTACGAACAAATATCAGCAAATTGAGATTATGTGACTATCCCCAACCCTAAGTGACCATATTCAAATTTGAGATTATGTGACTATCCCCAACCCTAAGTGACCATATTCAAATTTGAGATTATGTGACTATCCCCAACCCTAAGTGACCATATTCAAATTTGAGATTATGTGACTATCCCCAACCCTAAGTGACCATATTCAAATTTGAGATTATGTGACTATCCCCAACCCTAAGTGACCATATTCAAATTTGAGATTATGTGACTATCCCCAACCCTAAGTGACCATATTCAAATTTGAGATTATGTGACTATCCCCAACCCTAAGTGACCATATTCAAATTTGAGATTATGTGACTATCCCCAACCCTAAGTGACCATATTCAAATTTGAGATTATGTGACTATCCCCAACCCTAAGTGACCATATTCAAATTTGAGATTATGTGACTATCCCCAACCCTAAGTGACCATATTCAAATTTGAGATTATGTGACTATCCCCAACCCTAAGTGACCATATTCAAATTTGAGATTATGTGACTATCCCCAACCCTAAGTGACCATATTCAAATTTGAGATTATGTGACTATCCCCAACCCTAAGTGACCATATTCAAATTTGAGATTATGTGACTATCCCCAACCCTAAGTGACCATATTCAAATTTGAGATTATGTGACTATCCCCAACCCTAAGTGACCATATTCAAATTTGAGATTATGTGACTATCCCCAACCCTAAGTGACCATATTCAAATTTGAGATTATGTGACTATCCCCAACCCTAAGTGACCATATTCAAATTTGAGATTATGTGACTATCCCCAACCCTAAGTGACCATATTCAAATTTGAGATTATGTGACTATCCCCAACCCTAAGTGACCATATTCAAATTTGAGATTATGTGACTATCCCCAACCCTAAGTGACCATATTCAAATTTGAGATTATGTGACTATCCCCAACCCTTTATCACATAATATTTGTTCAAATTGATTTTTAGGGAATGTCCAATTGAGTCACTGGGGTTGGGGATAGTCATATAGATCCATTATACAGAATTTGAGGAAGTTTCTTGACATGAGAACATAAAAAATTGAATTAATTGAAGAATATATTAACCTTTAACCCACTGAAAGTATGTGAAGAATTAATAAAGATCTATCAAATGAAGTGCTAAGACTTTGAAAGTCCAAAAATAGTTCCATAGTCATATATGGAACTGATTTTTTAGAGAAATCTTATAGAAAGTTAATGAAACTGATTTTTTACCTCATAAACTGCTATAGGAAGTTATGTTTTGTTTAACTACTACTACTGATTTCTTATTTGGAGAGCTGGGAGAAAAGTTTACCTCATAAACTACCGATCCACAGTACGCGCGAGACAGAGACAGGGACGGAGAGCGAGACACAGACATGCAGCCAAAGATTGAGGACAATGATAGACAGAGATGCAGCCAAAGATTACATCTACCTCACACGCAAGATCATTTGGATTGTGTACATAGGAAAAGCCAGAGTTTGGGTGGACAAAATTGAATACCGATAGATTTGTAGGTTGGGATAATACTAGCTTTAGTGGTTTGCTTTGCGATTACAATGGCCGTTGTCGATGGCGAAGAGCTATAGTGGATGAGGAGGATGACAGAGAGCTATAGCGGCAACAGTGTGGACAGACGAGGAATGATAATATTGGGTTTAGGCTCCCGCTCTATCAATCTTTTATTTTTCTTTTATTTATTTATTTTTCTCACACTGCGTGCATGTACACATCCTTCTTCCACCTCAACTGCCAACTCATTAGGGTCCTGGGGGTCATGTTTCACTAGGGTCTGTAGCGGAACTGTTCCCCAAAATTCATTCCGAAAAATGATTAAGACCCTCTTTTTTTTCACGCCTTTGACCCCTCTCTTTCTTAATTAATTTTATTTATTTATTTATTTATTTATTTTTTCAACTACCACCACCCGTCACGTGAGGGGGTGGCGGGGGTTGGTGATTGAGGGTGCGTCAGTCACAACCGAATTCGTCCCCATCGTCTTGGATTGCTTCAGACAACTTCACAGCACACGCCAACTCCATCAATGGAGCAACAACTTGGCGCCAAATTCGAGCAAATTCTCAACGAACCCACAGACGCCTCCACTTCTTTGCAAGCCCTATCTCTCGCTCGATCTCTCATCCTCAACCCTTCCACCTCCGACTCCACCATCTCTTCTCTCCTCCAAACCCTATCACTCTCTCTCCAACCAGACCGCGACCCTCTCTCTCTCCGCCACACTCTCTCTCTCCTCTCCGACCTCGCCGCCCACCGCCGCCACCTTTCTCAGTCCATCTTTCAAACTGTCCACTCATTTTCTCTCCTCTGCAACCCTACCTCAACTCGCACCCTCGCCGCTTCTCTCTCCGTTCTCGCCTCAATCGCTGAATCAAACCAAACCCTAGCTTCTGACCTCAGTGAGCTTAGCGAGAGTCTATTTCTCAAACTCTGTTTTTTCCCGAGTGTGTCTGTTCGGCATTGGTTGTTGTTGAATGCGGAGAGGTTTTGGATTCGGCCGCCTTTGTTGCTGACTGTGTTTTTAGGGTTTACGAAGGATCCGTATCCGTATGTGAGGAAAGTTGCTTTGGATGGACTGTTTGGTCTGTGCAAGTCCATTGTTGTTGAGGATTGTACTCTGGTTGAGAGTTGCTATTGCCGTGGTGTTGAGCTTCTGAGCGATATGGAGGATTGTGTAAGATCTTCAGCTGTTCGTGCGGTATGTTCTTTGTTTTTTGCCATTGTTTGCTTGAATTGTCCATTTTTTTTTTTTTTTTTTTTTTTTGTCTGGCTAATTCTGTTTGTAGGGAAGGAGATTTAGAGATAATGCAATCTCTATTGTGCTCATGCTATGGTAAAATGTGGTTTAGAACACATGTTTGGTGTAATAAATCTTATTAGATGCATATGAAATGAACTCTTTTGGGGTTGGCAGTGAATTACAATCCCGTAACACCTGTTTTTATAGCTTTTGTATTTGATTTGCAGCAAATGTAATGGTTTTTGTTCGAATCTTTGTTCACGATCAGTGCTATTTTCGCTCAAAGTTTACTTTTGAATTTGGTGTTGATAAGCTTTTTGCTTGAGCTATCAATATAGGGGGTCTTTTAAGTGACTTTTTTTTGCTGTATTTGGGTCTCAGATTAGTGGAGAGGGAAAAGTAAAAGTAAAAGGAAAAAGATGGGAAAACAAAATGAAGTGAAGGTTTCTCCTGTTTGGTTGGGTTAGGAAAATGAGAAGAAAATGAATAATAGAATTTGCAAAAATGAAAAAAAATAATCTTTTGTTTGATTACCCCATAAAAAATGAATATTCTATCTTTCATTTTCTTTTCCTTAACAAATCCAAGGTTCACTGCTACATTCTATGTAGTAAAGTGGTTAGCATTTTTTTTTACTATGCTAAGCTGATTAGTAATTTCATTTCTGTTTTATTTTCTTTCCACTCTATAAATCCAAGGTTCATTGATATGTTCTACATAGTAAAGTGGTTAACTTTTTTTTACATTTATAGTACTTTCTATGCCCAGCTGGTAACTTCACTTCTGCTTACCTTCTTAATTATTAGATCCCTAAAAGTTTAGGATGGTGGCTTTAACATCAATCAATCTGAGATATATGGACAATAGGATTTTAATGGGCTTAGTTCATGTTGTGTACAGGTTGCTCAGTGGGGACAATTACTTGTGGCATTGAACCATGACGATAATAAGAGAGATTTGTCAAATGCATTATTTATCCAGGTATTATTTAAAGTACTATGTTAATTAGGTATGAGAACATAGGTGAAATTTCATTTTGTGAAATCAATTTGTGAAAATAGTTTTTTTTTGGATGTATTAATAACGCTGTCGTTGATTTCTGAGGCTTTTGTTGTTAAATTTATTTCTAACATATTGGTATAGATTGTTCAATAGAGGATATATTGGCATGAGGTTCATACATTCTATGCATGATTTGTCTGTGCTAAAACTGGATGCATATTTTGTATCTTGTCAGGGTGACTGGAAAGAACTATCCATGATTCTCATATAAAAATACCCTGTAGGGTGAAATCTTGCATCTGGTTCCAATATCCTGTGGATCTAATTTTAAACTTCTCATGTACTCTCTCTCTCTAACTCCGCCGGGGTTGTTAACAACTCCGCCGGTCCCAAGCCCGGGTTAAGGAGGAGGGTTGTGTGTTAGGTAGCCGACAACTAACACGTAAAAAAGCCGCTCGGATCCCTTATGAAAATGAATCCTACTTTGAATCGTTTAAATGCTAGGTCGTTCCCCTCAAGTGACGCGTTGCGCCTGCCTCCGGGTGTTTTGAAAGGTGAGCAAGAGGTGCCGCATCGACGCCTGGGTGCGGTGAAAAATGGGCAAAGATTTTTGCGTTTTTCTGGACGAACGCGGGTAAAAAAGCTAGTCCAAGACTATAGGTTTAGGGTAGCCACTTGGAACATAGAAACCTTAACTGGTAGGACGATGGAATTGGTAGATTTTATGATTAGGAGGAGAGTTAGTATAGCTTGCATACAAGAAACTAAGTGGACGGGAGAGAAAGCTAGGGAAATTGAGGATACTGGTTTTAAACTTTATTATAGTGGTGAGGATAGACGCAGGAATGGGGTAGGAATCATAATTGTCAAGGGTCTTGTGGAAAGTGTGGTGGCGGTCATTAGGAAAGGAGATAGGATTGTGCTAGTTATACTAGTTATTGGAGGGAATATATTGAACATTATTAGCACTTACGCCCCTCAAGTAGGTTTAGATGATCAGACTAAGAGGGATTTTTGGGAGCAAATGGATGAGATCTTACAGGAGATACCCGTAGGAGAGAACCTGGCTATATGTGGAGATTTTAATGGCCATGTAGGCATAGATAAACTAGGTTATGAAAGGGTGCATGGTGGATACGGTTTTGGTGACCGAAATGAGGCTAGAGAGAGAATCTTAGATTTTGCGTTGGCTTCTGGCCTGGTGGTGGCCAATACTATGTATAAGAAGAGGGATGAGCATTTGATAACCTTTAAGAGTGGATTAGTTAAGAGCCAAATAGATTACTTCTTAGTGAGAAAAGTGGACTGCCTAAAATTCAATGATTGTATGGTGATTCCTGGAGAGAGTCTGGTCTCTCAACATAGGATTTTGGTACTAGATTTATGTTTTAGAGGGCAATACCAAGCTAGGAAGGATAGTGTGCGTCGTAGGACGAGATAGTGGGACCTAAAAGGGGATAAACTAGAAATATTTAAGAATCGAATGGATAAGGAAAGTACTTGGGACTTAGAAGGTGATACTAACACTATGTGGAATTCGATAGCCAATTGTATCGAATGGATAAGGAAGGTACTTGGGACTTAGAAGGTGATACTAACACTATGTGGAATTCGATAGCCAATTGTATGAGGAGAATCTCAATGGAAGTGCTTGGAGAGTCGAAAGGAACGGGACCCAGCTCTAGGGAAACTTGTTGGTGGAGCGAAGAGATTCAAGCGGTAGTTAAGGCAAAAAAAGAATGTTTTAAAAAGTGGCAGAATGATAGAACTGAGGAAAACCTTAAGAGCTATAGATTGGCTAATAAGGAGGTCAAGAAAGTAGTGAGAGAGACTAAGTTGAAAGCTTATGATGACCTATACACTAGACTAGATAGTAAGGAAGGAGAGAAGAGGGTATACAAACTTGCTAAGATACGGGAGAGGAAAACAAGAGATTTTAATCAAGTAAAGTGCATCAAGAGTGAGGATTCTAAGGTATTGGTGAATGATGATGAGATTAAGGAAAGATGGAAGAATTATTGAGAAACTGTTAAATGAGGAACATGGAAGTACGACAATAGGGGAAAAAATAGCCAGTAATACGATAAATCAAGACTATAGGTTCTATCGCAGGATTAGGAAATTTGAAGTGGAGATTGCACTTAAGAAGATGAAATCAAATAAGGCTTTAGGACCTGATGATATCCCCATTGAAGCTTGGAAGTGTTTGGGTAAAAAGGGAGTTGTTTGGTTGACTAGGTTGTTTAGCAAAATTTTGTTGACTAGGAACATGTCAGATGAGTGGAGGAAGAGTATTTTAGTGCCAATCTATAAGAATAAAGGTGATGTTCAGAATTGTAACAACTATAGAGGAATCAAGCTAATGTGTCATATAATGAAAATGTGGGAGAGGGTACATGGAGTGTAAATTTAGTAACAGTAACAATGAAAGCAGAGGAGAAGTGAAGATTGAGAACCAATAACTGCTTAAGAGTGAACATTTTCGTTATTTAGGGTCGATTATCATAACAGCGGGAGAGATTGATGCAGATGTGGCCCATAGGATTAAGGCGGGATGGTGTAAGTGGAGAAGTGCGTCTGGGGTATTGTGCGATAAACGAATACCCACTACAGAAACCCCAACATCTTTCCCGCTGTAACACCAAACATACACTTCTGAGGATTCAGTCGCAACCGAAATTCTCTAATCCTTTGAAAGAACTTTTGCAAGGC